CCCCCCAGGGAGAGACCCCCTGGCAGAGACCCCCCGGTAGAGACCCCTCAGCCCCACCATACCCCAGCCGGGACAGCCCGGCCGCACCTGCCAACAGCCCTCCCTGCCGCAGGGGACCAGCCTCTCTACAGCATTCCCATCGAGAACATCCTGGCCGTGGAGAAGCTAGAGGAGGAGTCTTTCAAAATGAAAAACGTGAGTGTGGCGCCCCCAAGCCTCTCTTTCGGGTTGAGGCCTGGCCAGGTTTTCTCTGTTCTCTTCCCGTGCCTGGCCCAGGGCTCACCCTTCCCCACCCTCTGCACTTCAGGCTTCTCAGTCTCCGTGTTACTGGGGGTGCTCACCAGGTGCTGGAGAGTTTGTGTCGGAATCTCGCATCAGAGCAGCCACACTCCGTGTCCGGGGTCACCAGGGTGGGGTGGAACCTGCCGGAAGGTGGGGCCTGAGCTGCTCCAGGGGACGTCCCCTGCAGGGTCCCCAAGGTCAAGGTGCCCTCGTCAAAGACATCCCAGAAGCAGGCTTGGGACCGTCTGGAATTCCTTTTGGAAGCTTTTTTATTTCGATATAATTCTGAATTTATAGAAGTTGCACGGGTAGAACAAGTACTTTCCACACACGCTTGACCCAGACCCACATGTGGCCTCGTTCCCCAGTCACATTCATTCCTTCTCCCTCCACGGGTCCTGCCCGTGTTTTTCTGAACGGTATCAACGCTTCTGAGTGTTTCCCACAGCGCAGACGCTGAAACCACAGCAGCCGCCCGTCGTGCGTCACCGGCGCGGCCACGTTTGCGTTTGCCGCCGTCTGGTCCCGTTCCTCCGGCTGTGGTTTCCTCCCCTCCGGATCTAGTCCACACTGCATTCTGCTGCCCCTCGGTCTGGCCGACTGGACACTCCCGGCCTTTCTTTGTGTGTCGTGGCCTTGGCATTTTTGAGGCGTGCAGGCCTTTGGTTTTGTGGATGTCCCTCCCTGTGGGTTTGTGCCGACATGGCAGGTTCTGATGATGCATTTTTGGCAGAAATCCCCTAGAGGTGTCCGTGGCGTCGTCATTGTGTGGTGGCCTCCCAGAGTCGGCCGCTGGCCACGTTCTCCCCGGTGACTCAGTGCCCCCGCCGTCCATGCCATCCTGAGGCTGACCCTGTACCCTGACACGTGCTGGCTGGGACAAGCCTTCTGTGCCCCGACTGTAGCATCAGGGCCGTAGAACGGTTGCAGGGAAGGCACAGTCCCTGGGCCTCGTGCCAAAGTCAATGCATGTTCCTTACCGTGGGTGGGATTCTGCTAGCGTGTTATTCACGGGCAGTCCAGACAGATCCCGCAAAAGTCCTAAGTTTGTAGAGTAATTTGAAGAGGAGGGTGTGGGAAGAGGAGGGTTGGGAAGAGGAGGCGGTGGGAAGAGGAGGGTGTGGGCTCAGTGCCTGTGACTGAGGGGACGGCCGGGACCTGGCCCTGAGACCATCTCTCAGAGGAAGCAGTGGCAGTGTGGAAATGTCCTGGAAGCACCTCTAGTCTTCACATAGATTCCCAATAATTCCCTCGTTTCAGCCGCCTGTTCCCAGCTGTTCGTTCCCTCTGACTTCCTCAGAGCCCAATTCCCCTGGGGCCACTGCCAGGCCAGACTGTCACCAGCTGGGGAAACCTTTCTGAAGGCTGCTGCTGGAGGCAGGGCCAAGCCTGGGTTGATGGCCGGGATGCCCTCCATGGGTGATCACAGCCATGCATGGGAGTGTCCAGTCCGAGACCTGCACACGTGTGCCAGGTGTGAGGCAGGTGGCTCCTGGCCTCTGTAAATAAGACCTCAGCTGCTCACCAGAAACCTGGAGCCCAAGTCCTCCCCAGACCAGTGCAGAAGGCCTGTCCCCTAGAGAAGGCCACTGTCCTCCCCAGACCAGTGCAGAAGGCCTGTCCGCTAGAGAAGGCCACTGTCCTCCCCAGACCAGTGCAGAAGGCCTGTCCGCTAGAGAAGGCCCTCCTCCCCAGACCAGTGCAGAAGGCCTGTCCCCTAGAGAAGGCCACTGTCCTCCCCAGACCAGTGCAGAAGGCCTGTCCGCTAGAGAAGGCCCCAGATCCTCCCCAGACCAGTGCAGAAGGCCTGTCCCCTAGAGAAGGCCACTGTCCTCCTGGCTCCTGACTCAAGGGCAAGTCCCACATAAGACGCCTCCCGCCTCCAGTCAGCCTCCTGCTCAGAAAACCTGACTTCTGTGTGCAGCAGAGCCGGCTCCTTCTGCGAGCTTCTGACCTCCAATCACAGGACCCCTGTCACCCCTACCCCAGGGCCCCCGTCCCTCTAATCCTAGGGCCTCTGTCACTCCTGCCCCAGGACCCCTGTTCCT